TGTAGTCCCAGCTACTCAGGAGGCTGAGGCAGGAGGATTGCTTGAGCCCAGGAGTTTGAGGTTGCTGTGAGCTAGGCTGACGCCACGGCACTCACTCTAGCCTGGGCAACAAAAGCGAGACTCTGTCTCAAAAAAAAAAAAAAAATATATATATATATAAGCCCTGTTTATATATATACATAGAAATTAAGGATATGATAAAGTAGCATTTCAAATTAGTTGGAAAAATGAACTATTTAATAAAAAATGATAGAATAATTAATAATCTTATATGGAGAAAATATGTAGTTAAATCTACCTTATAGAATATATAAATATATTTTAAATGAAGCTAAAAAATATAATGTAAAAAATCAAAACTTTTGAATTTTTAACTTTGAAACAATGTAAAATATGTGATTACAAAAAAATTAAAAATTTATGACAGATAGAGCCAGTGTGTGAATTTAAAAAAAAAAAAAAAGAAAAAATTAAAAATTTAAACAAACCCTAAAAATAAAAAGCAAAGTAAACAAATAAAACCATGTATAAAGGAGACAGCATAATCACACAGAAAGCTTTTTCAAGTGACTACAAAATGCAAGATTTGACCGTTCATCTCTGATGGTATAGACCCTAAAAATAAAAGAATTGTAAAATAACATTTAAACTGTTTTTAGTAATCATATTTTGGTGGTATTATTGATTTTGTTATGTGAATTAAGGGATAAAGCAAATGGGTAATTATCTTGGTGAATATGAGAACCACAATTTTCAACATAGGAGAAAGACATGAATGTATGGTCAATGAAGTCTGGTTAAACTCAGTGGTTCTGAATGTGAAATGAAAGCCTCTGTATGAACACAGGTTGTGTTTTATCTTTAAAAATTTTTATTTCCTTTCTTTCATTTCTGAAAAAAGTATAGAAATATTAACCCGCCCAGTAGCAATGACATTTCTAGCACTGAGACTGAAGTCTCTAACTACCACTTGCTACCAAATAGAATCAGAATTAGGATAGAGACTATCCAGTTCTAACACAGCATAAACCTTGAAAAAAAAATAAAAAAATAAAAAAATAAAAAAAAAGAGACTATCCAGTATGGCCCTGAAACATCTTGTAACATTAAAAATCATACAAACTGAGACTGCTAGGGTCTTGTCAAAAGGATTTAGGAGCTAACTTGAAGGGGCTTCCACCTGACTAAGATAGATTAATAAGATAACTTTATGGGTTAAAATACATCAAATATTTTTAAATCCATGACTTTATAATGACAATTAGAAATTTACTGATCATTTTGGAAGATGCTAGAGCAATAGTTCTTTGGTTGAGCACTTATGAAAAAGGGGAAAAAAGCAAGTATTTACCTTGATTTTCCTATATAAACTGTACCTTACTGTTAATAAATAACTGATTAAGGAAAGTTTTTCTTTGTAGAAGTATTCCACTAATAAAGGAAGAATAGTAGAATTAGAATGTCACTATTTTGTATCTTCTTGTTCATAAATGGATCTAAGCAACAATTCTCAATGCTTGCTAACAAAGAAAGACAACCAGAAATTATATGCCTACTGATGGAAATACTTAACTATAAAGTATAGTTTTGTCTCCCTCCCAAACAGCCAACAAAAAAGAACATGAATCTGATTAAGCTCCTAGATCTAAGTACCAATGTACAGAAAATAGAAGGTGTGGATAAATATGTTTAATGATATCACAGAGATACAATCAACACAGTGCAGACTGTTGGAAATTCTTTAGCCACATTTCCTGGTTTCTTCATCAAATACATTTCAGGACCCAAACAACAAAACAACAGCAACAAATATCAAAAGAGAATCTCTAGAATAAAAGCCACTTAAGAGACAAATCAATCAATTTTAATGTATAGGTCTTATCTGGATCCTCTATTGAACAAATTATTTTAAAAAATTATGAGACAAACAAGGAAATTTGAAAACTAGATATTAAACACTGGATGACATTTAAAAACACAAATAAAATTTAATAAAGCAATTCACAATGAAGAAAACCCTTAAGGCAAAAATATAAGAACTCAACAATGGAGTTTATATCCAGAAAATGAGGAGGTGAAACAGAATTCATAGATGTTAGGAGAGAAACAGAAGGGGGGGAAAACTCATTTCAGAAATGAAGGCCAAGTTACAAAGAGCAAAAGAGAGACAGATATCACAGAAAATACAGTAAAGGACATAGAGAACAGAAATAAGAAAAACCACACAAAAAAAAGAGTTACAAAGAATTAGCAAGAAAAAAATAAACAGACAAAGGAGAGCTGAAATATGCATAATGAAGGTCCTTCCCTCCCAAAATGGCACAAAAGATTAAAAAACATAATTAACAAAAACTGGTATTGAAGGAAAGGGAGGGATAAAGGGAAGAAGAGGCTAAAATCTAATTTTATTGATGGTCAGAGTAAGGAAACAATAAAGAAAAGAAAGTTAATGGTAATATACTGAAGTGTAAATATAAGCACTTGAACTACTGAAGGTCCTACCCAGTGCAGTAAAGCAAAAAAAAAAAAAAAAAAAAAAAAAGTATAAGGATTAAAAAGAAATAAAAGTGGTATTATCCATAGATATTCTGATTATTTGTGACATCAATTGCTAAGTTATTAAAATGAATAAGAAAGTTTAGTAAGGATGCTGAATCTCAGGCCAATATATACAAAAATCAATTCTGCTTCTATATGCTAGCAACAAACAAAATGAAAAATTCAAGATATACCATTTAAAATAGAATCAAGAAGTATTAGATACCTAATCTAATGAAAAGTATGTAAGACTTTTACATAGACAACTATAAAATACTACTGAGAAAAATGTTAAAACATCTAAAGACAGGGATATACCACGCTCATGAATTTGAATTCTCAATACTGTAAATATGTCAGTTATCCCCAACTTGAACTCTAGATTCAATGCAATTCCAATTAAAATTCCAGCAGACATTTGTGGAAATTAACAAAATTTCCAAAATTTACATGAAAATGCAACTGGCCTAGAAAAGCCAAGACATATTTGCAGGAGAACAAATTAAGAACAAATAGAATAAATTTACAGGCTCTCAAGGCATATTGTAATAGTATAGAAATTAAGACAATGTGGTACGGGTACAAGGTCAGACAAATCATTCAACAGAATAGAAAAGAGACTCCAGAAACAAACCCGTTCACATATGGACTCTTAGTTTAAAGCAAAAGTGGCACTGTGGAGCAGTGAAGTATGATCTTTTCAATCAATGCTGCTATATTAACTGGTTATCTAAATGAAAAAATGAAATCTGACCCTTGCCTCTTACCACACACAAAAATCAATTCCAGATGGATTGCCAATCAGAATTTGGAACATAAAATGATAAAGCTTTTAAAAAATAACTTAGAAGAATATTTTCATGACATTGGGGAAATTGAAAGTTACTAGGACACAAAAAGCACTAACCATAAGGAAAAGATTGGTAATTAGCCTATATTAAAATGAAAAATTTATCAATTAGACCATTAAGAGAATGAAAAGATATACACCAAAGAGAAATGTTCACCTTTATGTACCAAAATACATAGAAGAATTCTCATAACTGTATTATTTCAACGAGTGAAAAAGTAGAAATGACCCAAATGTTGGTCAGAGCCAGCAATCTAATTCTAGAATTTTATTCAACAGCTAGATCTGTAATCATACACACACACACACACACACACACACACACACACACACACACACAGATATTCATTACGGCACAGTTTGCAACAGCAAAGGAATTGAAACAATCCAAACATTTTTTTTCAGCTATAAGGGAAAGGCTAAATACACTATGGTATATCCACACTCGGGGATATTATGCAGCTGGAGAAAAAAGAACAAGCTTTCTACTGTTAACTACAAGCAGCAGAAGGGTGCAGAACAGTGCACAGAGGGTACTGGTATTTATGTAAAAAGGAGGGGGGAATAGGAAAACATATATATGCACACAATGTATTTGCTTCTATTTGCATAAAGTGACACTGAGGGCAGTGGTTCCTAAACTTGTCTGTACTTTGGAATTACTTGAGGAGCATCAAAAAATTCTACCCTAGCTGGGTGCGGTGGCTCCTACAGGATCACGCCTGTAATCCTAGCACTCTGGGAGGCCGAGGCGGGCGGATTGCTCAAGGTCAGGAGTTCGAAACCAGCCTGAGCAAGAGCGATACCCAGTCTCTACTATAAATAGAAAGAAATTAATTGGCCAACTAATATATATATATAGAAAAAATTAGCCAGGCATGGTGGCACATGCCTGTAGTCCCAAGCTACTCGGGAGGCTGAGGCAGGAGGATCGCTTGAGCCCAGGAGTTTGAGGTTGCTGTGAGCTAGGCTGACGCCACGGCACTCACTCTAGCCTAGGCAAGAAAGCAAGACTCTGTCTCAAAAAAAAAAAAAAAAAAAAAAAATTCTATCCCCTCAAGACTCAACTGGTCATCAACCTAGACTTTGGAATTTTCAGAAGATCCCCACCCAGATGGTTCCAGTGGCAGACAACTATGGGAACCACTGTTATAAGAACACAAAAGATAATAAAAGTGGTTTTTGTAGCTGTGGGAGATGGGGACAGGTTGGATGGAGACAGAGATGGGAAACAGACCATTCCTTGTATACTTTTTAACATGGCTTCGATTTTGAACCATGTGAATGTATTCAGAAAATTAAATTAAGGAATAAATTAATGTAAAAAATTAAACAGTTGCCTCTATCATAATTTTTTTCCTTTTTTTAATTTTTAAATTATTTTTAAAATTTCAAATATTAAGGGGGTACAAGTGTTTTTCTTACATGGGTGAAATGAATACCATGTTTATTTTTATGACATGGTTTTCATCCAGGGATGAGAACTGCCATTACCATCAGCGTCAAACATGTTCATAATCATATCTTGAAAAAATTCATACTTTCAAGTTTTCTCTATTTTGGCCAAATGCATTAAATGCAGTTCATGCATTAAGTACAGTTGCTACATTACCTGTCTTTATATACCCAACAGGAAAGTTTATCACGTGGTGTGGGTGGTGGTCCTTCAAAGTTGGTGATTTTTTCCCAAATGTAGGTTCCATCTCTTGTTCGCAAATTAACAAAATAAAGCTTTCAAAAGATGAGAACACCATTAGCAGACAAAGCATTTAAAAATTAAATCTATATCAGAGGGATATGTCATCCAGATAGTAACACTATTACTTTTTTTCTTTTTAAAGAGGTAAAGTTTTTACCTCTCTAAAAATTAAAAATTGTAGAATAAAAATGAGACAGTGTTTTAGAAGTAAAAATTATATACAAAGCATACTGAAACGAGTTTTTTCCATCCTGCTCTTGCCTTACGTTTATCAATTAAATATGTAGTTAATTCTGAAGCAGAAAGACATGGGAAAAGAGAAGACTGTTGTATTTTCAATCTATCTTTAAAACTTTGTAATTACAGACTTAAGATTTTCTACATATATCTTCTTTTTAAAATATTTGTAACTTGTGAGATGAAATGATACATTAAATATTACATTTTGCTGCACTCCTGAATCAAAAGAAAGTATTACTCGATTGCTGTATCCTTTGTCATCATATCCTCCAAAAATGTACAGCTTTCCATTAATGCAAGCACCACAGCTTCCTGACATGGAGGTAGGGAGTTCTCCTTCCATTAGGTGCATTCTCCTGCAGCAAGAATAACATGGAATCCCATAACTTTCCAGAAAGGCAAACAAAATTCCCTTTTAACTCCATGAATACTTTTTTTCAGTGAAAATTGTTACTGCCAATTATAATTACAATGTAATGGTAGCCAATACTGTAAAAACTCTAAGAAGATCCAGGGTAAAGACTTTTCAACCTGCTGGTGGGAAAAAAATCACAAAATTTTCACACACGTCACCAGAATTGGGAATTAGTAGAATAAAATAAAGTCTTCAGAGACAGCAGTGGTCTTGAAATGAATAGTAAAGGACAAAGAATGGAAAGGGGAAGGGAAGAGTGGAAAGAAGGAGCCACAGAGAACAAAGCAATAAAAAAAGGAAAAGGAAACTTTATAAATGTTGTAGTATGTTCTAAGTATGGTCTCAAATTCCCTGCAGACTATGAAAACATTTATAATGGATATTAAGATTGGACATTCTGCAATTTAAAATTACTTACCATAACCCACTATCAATATCATAGGTCCAAATTTCATCATTAGGCAAATATACTTCATTGTCTTCAATAGACTAAAAATACAGAATACATAACATTATGTTTATCAATTACATAGTAATGATTAAATAGTTCCTCAGGAGGAGAAAAACTGCAGTCAAAATACTACAAAACACAAAATCAGTCTCAAAGATTATTTTTCAATATAAAATAAAATAGATCAAAAGAGAAGAAAAGAAAGATTTTCTAAGAGAAAGTAGAAAAACAATAAAGGTTTAGCATACAAAATAGCAAGTATATGCATCTCAAGAAAAAGACTCAGGGCATTAAACCTCTTTTTAGGATTTTGAGTAAGAGAAAATAGCAAAACAATAAGATTTAGAGCAGAATATTAAAGACTGTAAGGCCAGGGAGAAAACAAATGTCAAAAAAGGTCAATACATTTTGGGTGAAGGGAAGTAATTAAGGAATGAAATTTTTAAAGATATAATTAAGAGCACTGTATCAGATTCCTTGATTCACTGAACATATTTTTTTAGTGCCTACTATATCCAAGGCATAGTGTTAGGTGTTCCTTAAATCTAGAATATAAGGATCGTGATAAATTTAACTAGTCAAAATGATAACTGTGAATTTGAATAATCTCCAAAGAAACTAATAACATAAATAGAATAGTACATTCTGACATCTTTGATGAAAAGAGAAATAAGAATAGCATAACAATCTTAATTACTTTAAGTTAAAAAATGTAGGGGTTCTAATAAATCCTTATATATAAATCTGTCTTGATTTCTTAGAATCCATAAAATAATTCAAAAATAGCTAGAGTTTTAAAATCGCAGTTTAAGAATTTCTAAAACTGTATTATGCACAAATGATTAATATGCTAAGTAGATTTAGCTGTTTCTCACTGTTATGTTACTTAAATTTTAAAAATAGTATCTTGACTACCAGGTCAGTTGGTCTGTCAGTCTGTATCTGTCTGCCTGTCTCTCTGTCTCTCATACACATACACACACACACACACAGACACACACACACACACACACACACAAACAAACAAAAAAACAGAAAACCACTGTATTCCAAGGAAACTTCCACTCATGTCTGACTGAGGAAGGCATATTGGATGGTTAAGTAAACAAATAATTATAAGAAGGGGAGTTAATTGTATAATTTTAAGTTTGATGGCATCAGGCTCCAGTAGCCTCATGTGTACACCTTTACAAAAAAATTATGAAAATGAATTCTGGCATTATTCTGCTTCAGTCCCTTCAATGGCTCCCTACTGCTCTTAAGATAGTCTAAAATTCCTATGGTTCTGTATCATATGGTACCTGCTATCCCTCCAAACCTCAATTTGCCTTTTGCTCGTATTACACTCTAGTCTTCTTACAGTTCCTAAACCTCTCCAAGTTCTCCGTGGCAACAGGCCCATTCATCTATTCTTTTCTCTCCTCTTGATTGAGTAAATGGGTAAGTGAATAATACCTGTTAAGCTGACTGCATGCTCATTTCAGCCTGATCACATTTTTTGAAGTCCCTTTCAGTAATCTTTCAATACACATGAAGCACAGAATTAAAAAGTTTGGACCTAGTTCCTTCTCACTTTCTCGGAGACTTCACTCCTACATTATCCCTTCTTTTCTACATCATCAAGTTTTCCTTCTCTACTGGATCATTCCTATCAATATCCAAACATGCCTCATCTCATCTTTTTAAAAAAAAAACAAACAAAAAACCTCTCCCTTGACTCTTTCTCTTCCCATTTCTCTGTTCCCTTCACAACTAAACTTCTGTAGTGAATTAACGATAGTGGATTGTCTCCATTATTTTACCTCTCATTGTCTTATCAACCCAGTCTGGTCTGGCTTCTGAACCCATCATTCAACTGAAACTGCTCTTGCCAAGGTCAGCTCACAAAGAGAATTAGTGAACTGATTTATCCAGGAATGTAGCCCAGAGAGATGAAATATACATATATGTGTATGTGTGTATATATATATATATATACATATATATATTTATATATATATTTAAAGAAGCTCAGTGACAAGGAGAAAGAGAGGGAAGAACTCAATCTAATCAAAACATATTAGCACATAATGGAGAGAATGGGGAAGACTCAATATTTGAAGAGACAAAAGCTGAATTTTGCAAAATTAAAGAGATGGGTGGGGAAGAATTACATCAAGCCTGACTCAAGAAAAAATAGAAAATCTGAACAATCCTGTATCTTTCAATAGATTGAATCAGAGATTTAAAACCTCCTCGACAAAATAAGTACCAGGTTCAGATAGCTTTACAGATGAGTTCTACCAAACATTTGAAGAACAAATAATCCAATCTTATAAAAATTATTCCAGAATATAAAAGCAACAACCAATTCACTTAAAAACATAGCCACAAAAATCCTAAAAATTAATTAGTAAGCAGGATCCAGCAACATGTAAAAAAGATACTCTCTAAAATTCTCCAAAACCCTCCAAAATTCAACACCACTCATTGAAATTCAGATACAAAGGAACTTCCTTAATTTTATAAAAACTGTCTATAAAAAACCAAAGAGGTTCATCCACATTTCCACAAATAACAGGATTTCATTCCCTTTTTTGGCTGAATAGTATGCCACTGTATATATACACACACCACATTTTCTTTAATCCATTCATCTGATGTTGGATACCTATATTGATTCCATATGTTGGTTATTGTGACTAGTGTTGCAATAAACATATGGGTGTAGATATCTCTTTAATATAATGATTTCGTTTTCTTTGGATATCTATCCAATACTGGGATTGCTGGATCATATGATAGTTCTATTTTTAATTTTTTGAGGAACCTCCATACAGTTTTTCATAATGGCTACACTAATTTACATTCCCACCAACAGTGGGAATCCTCACCAGTATTTGTTATTTTTTTGTCTTTTTGATAACAGTCATTCTAGCTTGGGTGAAGTGATATCTCATTGTGGTTTTGATTTGCATTTATTTGCATTTCCCTAATGATTAGTGATGTTGAACATTTTCCCAAATACTTCTTGGCTACAAACCCTAAAGCAAACATCAAACCTAATGGTTAAATGTTGAAGCAACAAAAGAGACTAGAAACAACAAAAAAATAGCTTCTATTTAACATTGTACTTCAGGTCCACCAGTACAATGAGGAAAAGGAAATTTAAAAAAACGAAGATTAAAATGGAAGAAACAAAACTATCACCATTTGCAGATTATGACTATCTACATAGGAATTAAAAGAAATTAACAGATATTATGAGAACTAATGAAAGTTGAGAAAGCTTGCCAGAATAACAATAGTTCAAAAGTCCATTATATTTCAAACACCAGCAACAATCAAGAAATTTAA